CAACCTCGACCATGTAACTGCTCGTGTGTGTGTGTGTGTCTCCGTATTGATGCAGATGTAAGCCCAAGGCCCTATAAATATAGATTCGATTTCGTGCTCATGGACATTATCCACAATCTCGGTGCGTCCTATCGGAGTTATAAAAACAGGGTCTAGATTTATGTCTATACTTATCGTGGCACTATGTTATATGTGATGACTTACCCACAGAACATTCCTGCAAGTTTGCGTTCTTTTGCGACACGGGAATCAGTCGTGTACGAATGCGTGTCGCGCGTGCAATCTCAGGGGTTTGTTATATGAAGGAATACTACCACGCCGATGACACTCTGCAACACTACGCGGCCAGGTCGAGAGGCAGCGTAGCCCGTAAAGACAGAATCACGTATTCTCGGCGAAGGCATGTCTGTTCCGCGTATGAGGAGACATTCTGAGGGAGAGGAAGCTGGCTAGATTCGGCTAGACAGATCTGATTGACTGGTTCAGACCGATAGCTCGAAAGGAGGATGCTTGGATAGATAGATGACAAGCAGATAGATAGACGAAGAGGATAGACAGACAGATACAGTAGATAGAGAGATCGATCGATAGCTAGGTGGATCGATGGATGGATGAATGGATTGATAGGGGCCGATAGTACAAAGATAAATGGAAAGATACCCAGATCGATCCATAGACAGACAGACGGTTAGATAGCGGAGATAGAGACTCACACAGGCAGGCAGACAGAAGATCTCTCGCAACGTTCGTTTGGCAGTGCCCCGGGGCGGAAGCACTTATGCAGTCGAGTGACCCAGGATCAGGCCCTTCGCATACAGCCGCACTGGCTGCTTCGTCTTCTTGACGAACTTCTTGGCCTGCAGCACGGAGGTTCGGGGGATCATCTCGGTATCCTGTATCTCTTCTCCCTGCAGCACTCGCTTGCAGGCTTGGGGGCACAAGCCAGAATTGGCATCTTAGAGGCGTGAATTCCCGGTGCGCAGGCGGGTCCGCACCGACTGTGCTCGCAATCCCGCCTTGCCGGCTGGTTTGGCTTCACCTTGAGGGCGAAGGACGACAAGTCAGTTGACGAGCATGCTTGTTCAAAGGCCCTGCCTGCCATGGCTCCCGCTTGTGAGGCGAGGTATGTCCGCTTGGTGGCCGAGCCGACGGCGCAAACAGCCAAGCATCTGCAGATATCAGAAGTCACAAAGAAGGATCCAAGCCTCACGACTTCAACGGCTAGCATGTGCGAAACGACATATCGCCGACAGCAACACCTCCGGCGTCTCTGGTGGGCACCGGAGTCTTGTCCTAGCATTAAATGGCATTATCTTTAAACAGATAGCCAGCAAGGGCAGGATTTCCCTAACCGGCGCATCAATCCTCTGACACCGATCGAATGCTTACATCCTCCCCTCGCTTTCGCTTTGCGTCAGGGCCGTCCGTCAGTCCGCAAAGGGCGTCTCCTGTCCAACTGTCCAACACTACCACTGCCAACTTACAGCGCGAAATGCCGGCCCCAAACTACGATAAACTGGATGTTTCGCGACTCAAGTTCCAGGCGGGCAACTCGCCTGATCGCAGATTCCGTGCACCTTCTCGATTTGCCTCTCGCCTGAGCAGCAGAGAGCTTTTCGTGCGCACCCATGATCTTGAACCGCTGGATAAGCGGGATTGACATGCTAGAAATCAGTCGGATGCCCATGCCCTCTGCTTGAACATGACTGTCTGGCCACACGGCACTTTGTGCGGCAACGGCTTTAATTAGTCAATGCCTGGGAGCAGTAGAAGTCTGGAGGCACACGACTGCTCGCAAAACCATTTCCGCAGGTTATGACTTCCATGCCCACGTATTGCATCTTTGGATACCTGCGATCGGCCCACGAAGATGAGCTTTGCAGAACGGCGCTTCAAACTGCTGAGACATTGGGTGCACGCCGACATGAGTCGAGCGGCGCACTGAATGGCACGAGCATGTCTATGAGACCCATCGTGTACCTCAATTGTCTTAACAGGCAGGACTGATGCAATGGCGGGGCCGAGCACAGCCCCCTCCCCTCAACTGCTGCATCAGACTCGGAGACCCTCCAACTCCCACGACCCAAACTTGACTTGTCTCAAGTCTCAAGTCACCAAGTATAGTCCATGCTGCACTCCGAGCACAGCATAGCCCAGCTAGCATGCCACTGGTGAAACCATTTTTGGTGAATCATTGCAGCCAGGCAGCACCATGGAGCCATCTCGCCGCACCAGGGTGCCGTCGCTCGGCAGCCAGTTGTTCGGAGCAGGCGTGATTGACGGCGCCGCGTCGTTTCTGAAAAGCTGCGAGACAGTGCCTCTGGCTGCGCATGGAATGAGAATGAGCATGAGCGTGCCGGATGGATGCATCAAGGCCTTGCCACGTCCATGTTCGTCGGGGCTCGCCCATGCGGACATGGACCTTCCCGCTGCAAACCGGTACGGCGGTTACGGGTTGATCTGCCTTCTGACTCTCGGCAATGAAATGGGATGAAAGATCAGGGAATGAACTCAGAAGGCACAGCATATCACAGCGCAAGTGAGCTCACTTTGTCCCAGCGTCCTCCGGGCCATGGCTGAGCCCCTCTGTCCTGGTATGGGCTGCGCTCCTTTCACCAATGCACTTGCACCGACACTTGTCGTCAAGGCATTCACACTTGAAGTGACGAAAAACCCCGCATCATCCCAGTCCCGATCATGCTGGCGGGCAGAGCTCGAGTTCGTCGTGACGGGATGCGGCGAAACGAAAACCTCTGCCTTTCCTTCATCTCCCGTAGCCTGACCTTGCTGGCAAAATGGATCCATCCGTAATCACTTGCCACAGAAGCTGCTGCGAATTGTGTTGCATAGAGGGGGATGACAACTCATGTTCAGCCCAAGCTGCTGCGCACTCGTGACGCTTCTGCTCGAACACTCCATCTGTTCTGTCATGGATCCTCAGATGCACTTCACACGACAGCGGCATCGACGGAGAGAAGTCTCAGCATGCTTACAGGACACATCTGCGCTGATCAAACAAATGCAAAATGCAGTCTCCGCCTGCGCCCGTGCCAAACCAAACTGATGCGAGTGGCTGTAGAAGCAAGGAAAAATCCATGATGCGAAAGTCCTTCCAAGCTGGAGTCTGTCACGAGGGCTTGCCTTTAATGAAGTTCCCTGCGCTCATGCTTGCCGATATCCTCGTCGTGCACCGGTCTTGCAATGACTGTCAAAAGCAATTCTTCTCGTGGCTCACGCACCGCAGACTTCTCGTGTTGCTAGGCACGTCGTCAGCATGCTCTCCTACCTGCTCTCTTCCATCCACGTCCGGTTGGGAAGAAGGTGGTGCTTTCCCAGGTGTGCTCCTGGAGCAACTCAACGTCGGTCTGGTGAACGGTTGCAACCTGCGCAGCAACTTCACGCTGACCCCCTCATTGACCTGAAATCACGAGGCGGCGAAGCGGCCTCCGCTGCAATCGCTTCTGGAAGGTTTAGGGAAGTCCCCATTTCCTCCAGTCAGGGACGGCTTACGATCGACCTGTGTCCGATCAAAGGCTCTCGGCAATCTCGTCAGCTGCAGTGCCCGGGTCCTCATCGAAGTTCACGTCCTTGCCGACGTGGTCTTCAGGATCTGAGATGCGATTTCGGGTGCTCCCCTTGATGTCGTACCTTTCGGTGACCGCGATCGCACGCACAAGCACACACAAACAAACACACACACACACACGCGCAGACAAAAGGAACACATGGACGCAGAAGCAGGTAAGTAGGCAGACGAACATTGACAAACAGCCAGCCAAGCGGTCAGGGACAGAGCAGTGACAAATGCACTGCCGCGCCGCGTTTTTTGCCCACTTCTGCCACAATACAAAAACTTGCGCAGCTGGGTCCCAACACTGTCCTGAAACAGGCTGGCGGGGTCGCCAGCAGGCATGGCAAGCTTGGGAGCATGACACGTTGCAGGCAGGTGGCGTGTGCGAGATTCCAAGCGTATGCCTTGGAGTCAGGTAGTTGACAGCGAGATGCCGGTTGTTCTCTTACTCCGCTGAAGAGTCGCCCGAGTAATGCGGTGAAGTGGCGTCGTCACGGACCGCATTACGAAAAACAAACGAGACGGATGTCCCTCCATGCTGACCTGGGCTGGTGCTCTTTAATTAAGTCTAGAGTCTACAGTCCTCGTGCACAGTATTCGTTGCAGCAATCTGCAGATTCTGCATCAGACTGAAGCGACCCTCCAAGCGCCAGCCGGCATGCGAAAGGGACGGATCGTTTTCATCGGTTGCGCCAGCTGAAGATCTAGCAACTCTCGATCGAGAAGCCCACTAGCCAACCGAGTTGGCGCAGGCTCCAACAGGACCGTGCAATCCACCTGATCTTTGGGTGAATTTCCAAGGTAGAGTGCGTCAGCATCCTACGCCTGCAGGCATCATTGCAGGGAGCAGCAGTGCGAAAGGGGCTCTTCCAGTTTGCACCTCTCGATTTGGACCCAAGCATCGAGGACTGCATAGCGAAGGGCGTCCTCGACACCAAGGCCATGCAGGGCTGATATTTCAAAATATCTCAGCCCCTCTCTGGCTGCAATGACCTGTGCATTCTGTTGAGAAACCTGTCGTTCCGAGTCCAGGTCCATCTTGTTTCCAAGAAGGATACGGGTTTTCACGCGAGGCATCTTCCCAAGCCCAGACAATTGCAAGCAAGCGTGCTGGAACGAGTCTGCATCTGTCAGGTCGAATAGAACCACCACTATATCTGCGAGCACTTCAGCCCAACAGATGCCCACGGCTTCCACGGACATCCAAGCAGGAACAAAAGCCTCCTTATCGACGAGAAAGCACAGCCGTGCCAGATCCCAGGAGTCCAGCCACTCCATCAGAGGATCACCGCAACAGCGAACCAAGGACGACTTTCCGACACCTGAGGCGCCAACAACTGCGATCCGCAAAGCCCTGCGGTCCCTCAAGGTCTGGCCTTGGCCTGGACCTAGGCTGCCTCGCACATCTGCGCGCTCCAGCTGCCGGGTTTGGCAAATCAGCTGCAGCGAGAGGGGCGAGCCGGGCGAGCGCGTAGGATTTCGATGCACCAACTCCCCAAGCACCTCCCAAGAGCCCAAGACGCGACCTTCCAGAAGCAGCGAACGCTTGGCCAGATGTGATGTGCCGGGAAGGTCAGGAAGGCCCTGCATTGCGTGTGCATCCCTGGGCGCACAAACGGCCAGCACCTCTGCAATGCTCGTGGAGGGGTGGAACGCGTGCTCCGTCATCTCTCCAGAAAGCCGCTGCACATGCACCAGGCAATTCTTCATGGCTCCAAGCTGCTTTGGCTTCTGTCGCCCTGGCATGACGGAACTGGTAGGTCGCTTGCCGACGGCATGGCCTACTGCTGCCGAACCGCGAGTGATTCAGGAATGCTCGGACAACCAAACGGAGAAGAGGCAGTAAGACGATGAATGGCTGCCAGACAGGCCATACGTTGACAATGACAGCACGAGCAGCAGCGACAGCAGCAGCAGGTTCTGGTACATTCGTAAGCAGCGGCTGGCAGCAGCAGCCGCAGCCTCCAGCCGCAAGCAGAAGTAGGAGGCAAAACAATTCAAAACAAGAACAGAAGTTGGTGCGGTGGCGGGACATTGACAGTGGGGAAACGCATTACCAGTGCAAGAGTCCAGTCGTCGGGTAGTAGTCAGTCACGGCTACTGTGGCTACTGCGCCAGAAACCAAGCAGTGGCCACAAGCAACTGTATGAGCTTGCAGGAGAATCATGTTCCGGCATTGCACCCGGGCTATGACTGGTTGCAAGGAAGTGTAGCATTGACGAACTCAATCCAAAACTCATCCAAAGGGCACGGTAAAGGCCCAAGTATCGTCCCAGGATGGACCGAGGCTCGTCCTCCAGCCTTTGCTAAGCAAAGCTTGTTACATCTTGCTCTTCAACATCCGACGTGCAGGACTGCCAGGCCACCTTTGCAAGTACCGCGGCAGCATGCGAATCAAAGTCTGCGCCTCGAGGCGAATCGGAGCTACCAGCCCCGTACTAGAAGTCATGTTCACCGACCTTCCTCCACACAGAGAAGAAAGGCACGAAGACCCTTCCGTGTGCGAACGCACACTGGGTGGGTCGGTCTGTGGTGAGCATGGCTCTACTGAAAGGCTGAAATTCAAGCGAAAACTGGCCCCAGAAGTGTAACAGGTGAACCGGCGACTCTTTGCCGCGAAGGCTCCTCCCCAAGGTTTCGGGCTTGCGGGGCTCGGCTGAACACATCCCTTGATGTTCAAGGGCTGATTGAAGCAAAGATCCCAAGCGGCAAGTGTATTCTCCTCCTAACGGAGCCTCTCTGAAGTACGTGTCAGAGGGCATACCGCAAGGACAGAACCGGTGCTGCAAGGAATCTCACCAATGACAGCTCCGCTTGGTGGTTGCGACGAATGCTTTCCAGCCTCGAGCTCCGAGGTGCTCTTCAGCAGATACCTCGGCAAAGCGCGTCGTACACGGTGGGAGGCGCATCGGGGCATTACGCACGGGCTATCCGGATGGAAATCATCGAGGGACGGCACCCACGCGCGTTTGCTGGCATACTGGACTCCTGGCCCTGCCCCATCCTACACAACGATATAACATCTCACGTGGCACACGTGCACTTGTTGGAACATCCGCGGGATGCAATGCCAAGCTGCTGATGATCATACGTAAAGAAAAAGAGCTCGCCACTCTTGGAGTTAGTACCAAACCTCACACGCCGGACATGCCTGGCTTGCCTCTGGAGTCCGCTCAGAAGACCCCAAACAAACCTTGTGGAGCCGCTTGGTTGGGAGGAAACTCCATGTTTTTCCATGTTCCTCGCATCCCCTCGCCTTCTGAGAGCTTCTGACTTGGCCATTCCGCGAAAGATTCCGCTGCTTACGCTGTTCATGCACTGCTTACACTGAGTACATTCTGCTGAGACTGTCAGGAGCCCCGCTGCGGCACCTGTCCGCTATGTGTGTGCCGAGCGGCTCAATGAACTCGAAGTCCGTCCGACAGACAGAGATACAGTAGGACTCACTGGAGATGCCGCAGGCACCTTGGCTTGCCAAGGCATTTCACTCAGCAGCCATGAGCTCTTTGTTTACTTCGGCGTTCGAATCTAGCACAGTTGACCCACAGGCCTGTCTCGCTGCTGTGTCAGGAAAGTGTTCGGAGACAATGCGCAATCAGGCCAACTGCTCTCGATCCTTTGGCCAAGCAACGCCGGACCTCTGCGAAGAGTCTGGGGGCAAACTCCTCTATTTCGAAGGAGTGCTCCAAGCCTGGATGCACGGAAAATCCAAAGCTGGGTCCACGTGACAGCTTTAAGTTGTTATGACGAGGCACAAGTCTGTGGGCTGTATGCAGAGCCACTGGGTGGCACAGGAAAAACGCGAACGTGATCCCGAGTACAGTCGGAATAGCTCAGCCTCGGAAGAAAAATGCAGTCCGGATCGCCAAGCACCAGCATCACAAGAAGCAAAGCATTTAGAGGCTCTCAGAAGGTTGTTGCAGCTGTGGGCACTTCAGGAAGCCCTGAACTCCAAGCTTTCCTTTGCGGCTTCAGGCGCATTGGCAGCCGCGTCTCGAAGGCCGCCCGGCACTTCTCCCGCCCCCCAGCTGCATTGGTAGCCCAAGTGGTGATCAAGTCGGAACAAACCTAAATGTGGGATGAGTGTTGGGCTGGCTAGCTTGCGGGCTGACATGGTGGATTGCCTCTGAGTGGCAACGCTCACATGTATTCCGACCATCGCCATGATGGAGAAATTCTCGGCAGCCGCTTCAGGTTCCGATTTGGGGCTACTGTATGTGCAAATCTTTCGACAGCATGCAGAGTCTCCCGGGCAAGTTCTGCAATTCAGATCAAAAAAGTCTTGGGTAGTGGGCGTAATTGTTGTGCTCCTTGCTGACGGTGACATCGCAGCTATCGTCGTGCTCGTTGCCTGAGCGATGGCGCATCTCTGTCAGCTGCCGTAGTGCACTACGAGCTCGAAACTGTTACGCCAAGCGTGACTGACTGTCTTTGCTTGAACGTTGCAATCGGTCGCCAAGGCTCGAATTTCGTCGAGGATGGTATCACTTGGAAAATCGTGCCTCGCACGAAGCTGCAAGGAGCACTTGGGAGCTGAGTCAAAAAATCGCAAAGGAGCAAAAATAACGAAGCATCCACGATTCAGAGAATAGACGAGATACGGCAGCCACTCGCGCGTGTCGTCGAAGTTGCCCAGGCCCTCTGCCGACACTTGGTACTCCTCTGCCGCCAGCAGCATCATCCCCAAGGACCGCCCGAATTCAACAGAAGTCTGTAAATCCAAGGAAAACACACGACTGTAAAACCAAAACTGGGTTACTTCTGCAAGCTTCCTCGTCTCGCAATACTGTACACTGTACACTGTCATTCAAGGGCTTTAGTCTGAGAATATTCAGCCAACCCTCCCCTCCACCACCGCGCGAAACCGCCAGGCCAGAGGGCCCTAGGTCCCTTGGCCCCATTGTTCCCTGGTTCACATGGCTCCTGCCATGCAGCCTCCAGACCATTTACGAGCTTGCAGCAGTCGTCCTGGGCTCTGAGGGCTCAAAGAGTTCAGCACGTACGAGTGAGTGACTCCATGCGATAATCGGCCTCGAAATGCCATGCTCCTCTCGGTCACAGGCCCGAGGAATTTCGCACTGTCTAGCTACGAGTAGCAGCGCTAAAGCCACTAGTCGCGAGGGCTTCTGTACCTTGCGACGAACCAACTTCTGAACGTGACCATACGAGTATGTCGCACTGCACGGCAACACAAAACGAAAAATGTTCAACAGCCCCGCAGAGCATAGCATTGCACCTCGGGGCAATGATTTCACGATCTGTAGAGTGCGATTCAAAAAGGCGCATCGGTGTCCCGGACGGCTTAGCATGGCTTCATTGCTGACTGGCGGCCATCACATGGCGGCCTTGGTTGACCGCCAAACGCTTCAGGTGCCAGGGATATCTTATTGCCGATCCAGCAGACCCAGACGCAGGCACGAAGGCGAACGTCCCCTGCATTTGCCAAGCCACGGGTGTCCCGTCGCGGCGGGAACGACGAAGAGCCCTGGGCAGAAGCAATGCAATACCCGTGTCCGAGCAACTCAAGAGCCCCTCCCAGAAAAGCATCATCAAAACAGCACGAACTCCTGAGGCTGCAGCATTTTCGGGTGGGTGCAAATAGTTCCAGTCTGCTGCCCGGGCAAGGTCCAAGGCCCACAGATCCAGCAACTCCTACTTCGACAGACACTCTGACTTCTGGTAGTGCACGTTATACCAAACCTGCCACCTGAGATGGACCCCTCTGAATAAACTGAATAACTGATGCATTCGGAGCGGCCTCCCCTCAAGCCAGCTGAAGCCCCTCCAACAGCAACGTTCTAGCGAGCGCAGTTACGGAGGCCAGTGAACGTATGTGCTTTGCCCTGTTGGTCTTTTCATTGTTCCTCATAGTGACATAGTGTGCCGCATGTTCTCAAAGGCCACAACACGAGTTTCATGCTAAAGAACAACCGTCCACTGACAGATCGCCAGCAGTCAGGCTCTGTAAATTACTTTTGGGTAGGTTCAACAAGAGTTCAAAAGCATGGGACCGACTCCTCGCTGCGCCCCTTCTCGTGCAGGAAAAGGGCAAAGTCTGCCTGGGCAAGTTGACAAAACCTCCTGCAAGTTCTTAGTGTGATATCCGCTTGCTTGCAAAGTTTTCCGAAGCATTCCGCGTCGAGCCTCGGCTACTACAGGCCAGTGAGCCTCCCTGCTACCTACACCTACACCTCAGATGCAGGTTTCGGGGTCCGGCTTACCGCGCCTCCCTTCGGGCCAGGCGTAGGAGGCTTCTTGCGGCGCTTCGAGCGCGGCCTGTCTTCAACCAAAGCGCCCTTGCGCTTTTCGCGGTCCAGGTTCCGTTTCAGCCAGGTCCGCACAGCTTGTCGGGTCCGGGCGGTGTAAAGCACTTCACCAGATCGACTTAAGACTCGGAGCACCGACCGAGCGTCCCCACTGCCACTTCCGCTGCTCCGGCCCAGCCTCGACGGCGAAGGTGGCACTTGGCCGACCGTGGCAGAGTGCGGGGAGGGCGGCAAGCCCGTCTCCATGTCTGGCCCTGCACGGCCCTTCGGTCCAGGCCACGGCTCAGTGTCGCAGAAGAGGTTACAAACATCCCGGCAGCAAGACCGACAGCAGCGCGGCTCTTCATCGCCCAAACCATCCCCAATAGACGGTGGCCTGCGCGAATCACTGTCGATGAGTAGCCACCATGCCAGCATCCCAAGAACAAACGTACCCGCACAAATGATGACGAAGACGCCCACCACCCCCACGCAGTGGATATGATATGTGAAAGCTCGCCCATACAGCACCATACTGTAAACTGCCAGGCCCATACTGACCGCATTTATGGTGCGCCCAAGGCATCCTAATCGCGGACCAAGCCACTCAAACCATCTCAGTTTGCATGCACAGAACAAGCAGCCACCCATATCGATCATGACATAAAGGCTTGTCCAGAAAACCAGCATTGACCAAAAGCCATCCACGCTCGCTGCTGTGGGGCAAGTCTGCAAAGTCTTCGGCTTGCCGATGCCATGTATGACTAAAAGAAAGACCATGCTGAACAGTCGAATGCCTGCAAGGATAAGCACAACAAAGAAACGCTAAAACAGTGCCTGGCCGCACATCCTAGCCCCCCGGACCCGAGACAGAGTTTGCTTCACTACAGAGGCTGTGGTAAGTTTTCAAGCAAAACAAACCAAAATGAACAGTGCCAGAAGACTCCATATCACGCAACGCTCCTCACTCTGCAGTGGCGCACCCATAGCATGGCGCGACGAATAAGCCATGGCATCGACGGTGACGGGGACCACTGTGTTTAGGGGACGATTGGCCTGTGATTGGATTTTGGTCATGGTTGGTCCAGCTGAAAGCCTGCAAAACGAAGCTCGGAAATGCCTCATGGCCAAGCCGGATTTGGTCTTCAAAAGGCACCCGTCTTAGGGCCTTGAGGCCCTGGCCAGTATCCTGCCATCCCGAGCGAGGCGGTGTGGGAGGTCGGAGGCCGTGGCCTAGACAACACGCACCGCGGCCTTTCAAAGCAGCACGGACCTCCGTGAGACCTGTCCTATCTAACTTGAATCTTAACCTTTTGTCAGACCACGCGCGCTCGGCAAGATTTCCGCTGTGCGCTTACATGCACTTGATGCACGCAAGCCATACTGTACTTTCGCCCGTAAGAATGACAGCCCTCGGGTTGTCGCTGTGCGGTGCTCAGTAGATGTCGTCTGCAGCACGCGGGCTGACAATGCGACAAATAACATCTGTGCAGCTACCTGCCTGAGAGCATTTTCCCCTCGGGGGCATGCCTTGTGCATTGCCCACCTCGGCAGCATTTGACAAAAGGCTATCTGGAAAGCACCTGCAAGGTGAACACTCAGATCGGCGTGCTTTGACTAGAAGATTGTGCAGCACTGGCTGTCCTGCTTCTTCTTCTCTACGAAGGCGAACCAAAGCGAAGTGGCCCTCGCGATCTCCATCTTGTTAAGCTCTCCGTCTCCCATAATGTCTGCCTGCTTCATGACCCAGTCTGCCTCTTCGTCCTCTACGTCCATGCCTCCGTTGAGGTCTGTCAAATATTGCTTCAGCTCTTCCCTCGAGAGTTTTCCAGTTTTGGAGACATCATATTTCTCAAGCTTGGACTCAAAGAGCTGCCGATGCTCGGTGAAGGTATGCCAACAGGAGAGAAGCTCTTCCAACTCTGATGCCTCGATGGAATCATCTCCGGCTTTGTCATAGCACTTCAGCAAAAAGTCCACTTGGTCTTCGCTTGGAGGTGTTCCTGGTGGCGTGGAGGAGTCGGTGTCCGTTAGTAGCTTCACGACCTGGCTACGTTCCAGTTTGCCCGTCTGGTTCGTGTCGTACGCCTTGATGATCTTGTTGAGCTTGACCTTGCGCTGGTACTCATTCCAAGCAGCTTCCTGTCGTTTCTGCTCTGCCGCGGAAACTGGAGTTGGACGATACCCATGATTGTGCTTTTGTTTGCTGGCTCTGCGGGCGGCCAAGATGGCAGCCACGTTTCCAACGGGCATGGCTTAGGATGGAGCTGGCGCCAGGTGGTGGCTGCCACTACTGCCCACACAAACCTACAAGTGCATATGCTGCAGGAAGCGCAATTCGCAATCGGTCGTGTGAACCAACGGTCCGTTGAATTGGTGCTCGCGAGTCTAAGCCTGAAGCAGATCTGAGCAAAAGAGCCAAACATCGAAGGATCATAGCAGTCATTGCAGCTCACAACAGCTATGTCAGTGATTCTGAGCCCAGAAGCATCGGTAGTGGGACCGCCCTCTGGCCTCGGAGACTTGTTCCAGCTGCCGGACGGAGTTCACCTGCCGGGCTCCAGACATGGCCCTAGCAAGGCCCAAAGTGTCAGTTCTAAAACAAGGCGGCGCACCACCAGCGCTGCTGTGTCGCTGGAGGCACAGAGGCCCATGGTCAGCGCTGCTACATGAAGCCGACGCAGACGCGGCACTACGCCGCTAACATGAGCTCTAGTTCGAGCACCTGGTACTACCTAGGTCGGGACTGGGATTCGCAGAGTCTCACTCAAGTTGGTCGTCAGTAGTGGCTCCGTGCCCTGAGGGCTACACCTTTTGCTCTTTGCTCGCTCCAATCTTCTACTGGCTCGTCGAGTATAGGTATAGAATCCTCAAAGCTGAATCCCAAGCTCCTAAAGCCCTAAAAAACTGCAAAGCTCTGGCCTCTCGCTTCCTTCATCTTGAGCAGGCAAGGCAGGCGAGTCTGACTATCATTTCGTCATCATGCTTCCGAGCACCTCTTTGCCTCCACCAAAGCCTGCCTTCCGAGTCTTCTCAAAGCCCCGATGTGAGAGAAGCGGGAAATCCGTGGCCGCACTCGACCAGTTTCGCTACTACAGAAGGGACATTCGTGTAGTTGAACAGGCCGGTCAATTCCAGCAGTGGCTGACAGAGGTCCACTACAAATCACTGGTCCTAAGAACGTGTTCAAGGGATGCTTGAGGAAGTTGTCGCCCAACTCATCTTTGCCAATGCTTTTGCGGCGAGTCCTGCTGCCTGCCTGATTTGGCAGTCGGCAGTTCTGTAGTGAAAAGACCAGAAGCAGCTTTTCAGGCATCAACCCAGGTTCCGCGACCAAACTGCAGCCGCGACAGTATCACACGTCTGCTATCATTGATCTCCAATGCCTGAAAAGTAATTGCATGTACAGAGCCAGTGGGGCAAGCGTGGTGCTGCTTGCTGGCTGACGAGCACCAAAGTTTTTACTCAAAGGCACCCGCAAAACCATTAACTGTCATGAGATCTGCCAGGCCTGAACACTTTCGGCATGCTTCTGACCTGTAGCTCCTTTATGCCAGCCAGGGCGTGTGGCCCGGGATACAGGCCCCGAACGGCGGTGCAAACCTTGAACCTCAAACCCGGATGCGCGGTGCAGCGCTGGGGCCCTTCAGGTCTTGGGAGCAGCGAGCGCGCGAGAATTAAACCTTGATGGGTACCGTCCTTCGTAGTTTGCGGGAATTAGACTTCTCCAAGCTTGACGGCAAGGTCTTGCTGCTGAGTCGACATCGGGGTTTCACTCGGACATGCTAGGCGGGGCATCGCGCGGGATTCGACTCTCACTCTCGCACAGGCAGGCAAGGACCCCAGCGTTTCCACTAATTATATTACTGCTGCCACAAGCGGCGGGCTCAGGGTTCCGGATTATGTGTTTCCACATTGGAGACACGGACTTCCTACTCAGGATGCTTGCTTTGGACGCAAACCTGCGAAGTTTCCTTCAATATCAACCCCGAACAGGCCGACAAGAAGCCTCCGTCTATGTTCCTTCTTGTAGCTAGTTCTAGCTAGATTCCAGCTACTTTGGATCTTATTGGTGCCCTTCTGAAACCAACCCACCAGCCCGGCAATGCTGCACAAACCAACATTTACACAGGATCGCGCGAAGAGCCTACGTATGAGTCTTCCAAGTGTAAGGCCGCGGAGCAGAGCTCATGAATTGCGTCGAAAGAAGTATTTTTCAGGACGTGGTGCAACACTGGCTCTCAGGTTTTCGATCTACGAACCCGTACCAGAGTGACGTGGCCAACTCAAGTTCCATTTTGTTGAGTCCGCCATCCCTGATGATATCCGAAGCTTTCATGACCCAGTCCACGTCTGCTTCTTGAACATCATGGCCACCATTCAGGTCTGTGAGATAGGCTTTGAGTTCGTCTTTGGAAAGCTTTCCAGTCTTTGAAACATCATACTTCTCAAGCTTGGCATCAAAAACGTGACGTTTGTCGGTGTAGGTGTACCAGCAAGACAGCAGTTCTTCCAGCTCTGCTGTTGCAATGCAACCATCCTCCTTCACCTCACATAGCTTGAGCAGGAACTCCACTTGCTCCTGAGCTGATCTGCTTGGCATGCCGCGAGGCTTGGCTTCAGATGAGACTTCGGGCAGGGCAGGCGAGTATACTGTGTAAAAAGATTCTAGCCTGACGTGCTTTACAAGAATCTTCGGTTGGTGGAGTTCCTGGCGGGGTGGAGGAGTCGGTGTCGGTTAGCAGCTGCACCAACTGGCTCCGCTCCAGCCTGCCCTTTCCCTGCACGTCATAGTCTCGGATTGTGAAATGCAGCCTTGCCTTCCGTTGCAACTCGCGCACCGCCGCTTCGTGGCGATCGTAGCCATAGGTGTATCGAGTGGATCGGTACCCGGACATCCCCGAGGAGACAGACTTGGAGCCAGAGCCGCAAGCATTCCGAGCGGCCAAGACGGCCCCAACGGACATGGCAGGGCCTACAATGTTTCTCAAGTTTGCTCAAACTTTTTGCAAAGAATGCTGGAGCTCTCTACCTGTGTCTTTGTGTCAATACCGATAGGGCGGTGCAGGACACTCTGCGCACCGCAGCGACGTGTCTGCTGTTTCTGCTCCTGACATGACCGGGCTTGAACCTGCAAGAGCTAAAACCGAAAAAGACAACTAGCGACGGGCTCCGCAGGCGGCTAAATGAAGGTGCCAGTCCGTGAACACCACGCAGGTTATCGCCCGCAACTACTGCAGCAGCAGCAGCTGCTGCTGCTGCTGCGACTTGCGAGATTGAGGAATCAAAGTATTGACCACACATCTGGTTGTGATAAAGATGACACGAAAATAGTCGTCTCACTTCGTCTTCTACTTCTTCTACGCTAGCTTATTGCCGCGGTTTTTACTTCTGCTGCCACATCTGGGACTTTGCGCCGTCATCGTCACGGTTGTACATATTGAGCAGCAAGCGACCAACTCAAAGATGTTGTCGTGGTACCAGCATGCAACGGTCACATCGCAAAAAAGAACATGGAATGCTGCACTTCAACCCCAGGTTTTCCTCCGAAGCCTGGCAGGCGCAGCGCTCATGATCCTCACAGTGTTCATGATCCTGACGGTGAGAAGCGCAACAGCTGACTGCAGCCGGACATAGAAGAGTAGCCATGTGACGTGGCAGGATGCGTTCAACTGTCTAACGAACTCTGCCTTGCAGGAGCTTCCAAAGAATTGAGGCTTAGCTGAAGAAAGCACTGTCAGCAGTAGGTACGCCAAGCGAAACACTGCAATACTTCCAGCTCTGGGCAGGCATGATGACATTTGCAACTACCTTGCCTGGGTGCCCGCTCCGCCTCAAGGATCTCCAGTCAACTGTGGCCTCATCAGCTGGGTCGTCGTTGTATCGTTTCGGGCAGCATTGGGCTTGTAGGCAGGAAGTCTCCACAGCCATGGCACAACCACAAAGCGACAGAATCTGTGCATGCGAGAAGAGTCATGAGTGCCGGGCGTGGTCTCCAAGCTCCGCAGCAAATCTGGACTCTGGCCCGGATCTTCCTGCAGGACCCTTGAGATCTTCGTCGAGAATGCTTCGTGAAACTCCACTTCGACTAAAGTGGTTCTGACGGCTATGTGTCTTGAAGTGTCTTGCAGTCACACCTACCAAAAAAAACTGAGCCTTGGTTCGAGCCTGCCGAAATTCAGGCAGACGGCAATCGCAGTGCCATCAATTCGCTGTGGCAGACAGAGGATGCACTTCCGGAAGGCCAATGCGACTCTGCAACTTGGGCAGCACAGCCGGAAAGCTTGTGAAGACTCGGCTTTTTGCTAGCACCGCAAGTCAGCAGCTAGGATTGCTGCAGGCAGCCCCCAGCCCATTTCAAAAGTGGTGGCCAAAAGCCTGAGAGCATGCCGGCATGAAGCCATCTCAAAGAGAAGCTGAAACTCGTGTCCCGGGCAGGAATGCAATGGTGAAACAAGTTCTGGCGCTGACCAAGTAAGTATGACCACGGCTTCCAGGACAGTAGAGCTCCGGCCACTAGACGTAGGTAACTAAGCCGCTGTCTTGTGCAGCAAACTTCACTGCAAGCGAACCACTTTGCGTGAAGCGAATCTGTCAGCTTGACGGGGTGCTTTTACGAGTGCAGCATCTTGGCACATGTCATGTCTCAATCAAGTGAGCGCGCTGTAGGGTGGTGGGGTTCTGGGATGCTGCGGCTCACGGTGCTCCTGACTTCGTAAGTGCCCTGCCTCCTTGCACAGCAAGCCGGAGTGCCGTTCCGCAGCACAAACTTCAACTGCTTCACCTGCGACCTTGACGGGCATCGTCAGTTAGCACTTCTCACTCTGCACCCGATCGATGTGTCATCTTGCAAGCGTGTGACACGAAAAACTCAGTCTTGCAATCAGTCTTCCCGAAGTCAACCACCCCTCAGATCCTGCCAAGACTCCCCATTGACTTCCACTGACAGCATTCCCGACTTGGCATCGAGAACACGGAAGCGATGAGAGGATGTCGGCACCAACTTCGCCTGGCAGCGAGCCGATGATGTTAACATCATCCCCTGGGCCCCTGACGACGTGTGCAATATTTGAATAGGCTGTGGGATGCACAAATTGACTGCTGGCAATATATTCCAACCACATCGAAACACTTGCCACACTGCCCCGGCAGACACACTCTGAGGCAAGTGACCCTCTCGCCAATCAAAGCCCATCCCGAGCTGCGGATCACCGGTGCCAGCAATGCATAGCCTGGCTGTGAAGTGGACGAAGTACTAGCCGAGAGTTTCAGGAGTAGCGGGCGCAGCCCAGCCGGAGGGCTTCCCTTCCTCCGTTTCAAACCCAAAAAGCTTTGCTCTTCCGAAGGAGCTGAGCGGCTGTGTTTTTCGTATCCTCCCGGCACGCTGAAGGCCGACTCCGGCGCTGCCGCATCCAGCCACGCCACGACGCCCCTCCCGTACCAATCATAGACCTCTCAGTTTGTGCTCCGAATCTCCTACCTCGAAAGACGCCTCCAAATCACAAAGCCAAGCTTCCGCATAGGCTGATGCTCCAGGTCCTGAAGTTGGCTACAAACGCCATTCGACACTTCGCTGCGCTTCGCTGCGCTTAGCTGCGATCCTGCCGGCATGACGTCCCGGAGGTGAAGTTGGCCCGGCCGATCCATGAAGAGATAGAAGTTTCGGCCAGCGCCTGGTAGGTCCTCAGCTGAATTGGGCTCACTCATGGTTCTCTACGCCTGTAAGCACACTGCAAGGAAACAACGGCGGCCCGGAATCAGAGTAGCTGAAGTAGTTGTGGCATCCAGCCTCGGCGATGCAAGTTCTGCACAGAGCTTAGCCTAAAGGCATAGTCCTGCTGGGCCGACACCTGTTCCCATCAACGGGGAAAGCATCGGGCCGCAAAGGGCCAAAGCCAGCGATTCGAGTGCTGAGCCTCGAGCTGGATCGACACCTGCAGTATCGGAATGGAGGAAGGCTTCAGTCTCTACGACAGCGGTAGCCGCTTGGCGCCTGCGTTGAAGCAGGACTCCAGCGGCATAATGGGCAGATCTGGCTTGAGCACCTGCGGCCAGCAAGGTGCCGGCCTGCTTTAAGGCCTTGCCTCCGTAGCTTGCTAATGTCTTCAGCAAAACTTACACAATCTGCTGCACCTTACCATCTGCCCTGCACGTTGACATGACGCGAGTGAAGTTCAAGAGGTAGATGCCATCCTGGGGCAGAGATGTCGCAGCAAGAGGACTGGAATGTGGCTTGAATGCTCAAGTTCATTACGCGAAGAATCGAGCCAGGATCAACTTGATGACTCTGCAGACGAGGCTCCATCGGTCCTACCATCGCACCTTCAGGCTTTGGATGCTAGCAAACAGGCCAAGACCTGCTGATGCTTGTGCCAGTCCAGGCTTCGCAACACTGCCTTGACCTGCATTCCTGCCTATTCCCGGTACAGCAGATTCCTTGCCTGATAGCACTGCCATCAGTGCAGCACGGTTCGGAGCGGTTTCAGGTCCAACCACCTGGACATACAGGGACCCTGTGCACTGCAAACCTGAGCTGCACAGCGTAAGCCAGCCTGGCCCCCCACTTGCGGGAGGTTGCCTGCAAAGCACTCAGAGACATCTCCGCCAATTTTTGGCCCCCGCATGTGGTGTCTGGAGCTTCTCACATTATGCCACAACGTATTTCCACCAGTTACAGTTGCGCTTCTGGACCGAGCGGCTGGAGTAAAAGCCTCAGTGCGGCAGACTGAGCTGAACTCACGCGGAGAGAGCGAGCTCTTGCTTCGAGGAGCCATCCTTAAAGGGCAGAATGCCAATCGCCCAGTAGAACATCGACCTGACATTCATGAACTATGAATCGGTGAACCACCAAACGTCAACAACTTGCTCAAGTAAGTCCTCCTTGATTGCGACCAACCTAGCTGACCGTAAGTCTCCTAATCAGTGCTGGGGCGAGTCCCTAAAGATGCTCAACAGCCCACAAGCTATATCCAGATATCTTGAAGTCTTGACATCCCAAACCAAGCCGCCGTATCGCGGGGGAAGCAAATCGTGACTATGTGCAGGTCTGGTGCGTAGCTCCGATCGCCCATTGCTTGTCGCGCCCAATGTAATCGTCTGCCAAGCTCAGCCATATCCAGCTTGTAAACATAGAGCAAAGCAAAGCTGCATCCTGCCTGTTGCCCTTGCGTTGGTTACGGCCGGATATGCCGAGGCAGATAGGACATCGTATGCATATGGCATGCAGTACCTCAGCCGCCAAAAGAGGGGGCTGCTCCATTCTCTCCACAAAAAACAAAAAACCTCCTCGAGAAGCAGCTCTGGGGAACTGGGCTTCAGTCGGCTCAACATCAACAGTAGGCCCAAAATCGCCCAGCGGGTCGTCCGGGCCGCTGCACTGTGCGACCACTGCTCTCTGCTCCGGCAGCCATGCCATGAAGCCAAAGATCGCCCATGGAGATATTGGTCTGGAGGGCCTACGAAGGATGAGGCTTTCAAACACAGAGTGCCTGAATATATTCCTGGCTATCCCTCGATGGTCTGCGTGAGACTTCCGGGGCAGGGAAAGGCTCAGAGCCCAGGCAGGCAGCGGACCTCGACGTTGTCGTACTCCGTGCCTGGGCAGTCGAAACACGATTTCCGTCAGCTGCTTTGCCCCTTGCAGTGCAAGCCGGCTAAGGGTGCAGCACATCCAGTCCTGCTCGTACATGGCCAGTCCCCATCCTTCTTGCTGTGTAAAAAACCACCTCCCGCAAGCAAAGGACAGCTTAGAACGGACCGCATGCTGAACTGTAACTGCTCGGCAGATCGGCACGAACCTGAAGAAGGCTTCCGGATCCTCCCAAGCTGCTGAAACGTGTGCAGATTACCCATTGCGAACTCTCTGTAATCGCGGCCAGCTTTAGCTCGACTCGCCAAAAAGTGCTGGTCCTCCGGGACTGCTGCCTTCGGAGATGTGTACCACTTGAAGGGCTCATGCCTCAGCGGCATGCAGCGGATGCGCGCAAGTGTTGAACCCTCCAAACCATGCGCTTCAGGGATCACGGCGATGCTGACTGAACCTGTCTCAACGGCATCGAAGATGCTTCACATAATCCGAAGTGGGTGACCACTGACGGTTGTGCATCCTAGGCTGCTCATGGCTCAGCAACTCTCGACGTATTCGAGAAGGGGCAGAGTGTTTGCAAGGCTCGCCGAAAGCCTGGTCCGTTCGGAAAACTTCCCGCCGAGAGACACCATTGGCACACCAAGCCTGAAGCTCAAGACAGCTCAAGCATAGAGTATGATGCGATGATTTCACAAACCAGCAAACCTTTTGATTCCGAGCAGCTTGGACTGAATGTATGCCATACCGTGAGGGAACACAGAGGGCAGCGCAGTCCTGCAGGAGCCCATGATTCTGATGCAGCGTCGGGGCGCTCCGTCACTCTAGCCCTATCGGCGAGATGAGCGCATGCAGAGCATCTGCTCTTTGCTTCCGAGGGCGCAACCCTGTGACAGCGGTCAGCAGCATCACTCAATGAGGCTCCAACCAGTTCACCACCGCGCCACCACCGCCGCCGGGATCTACTTTGCCATCTTTGGGGTAGAACCAAGAATCGAACCTCGCGGTCGCTGAATCAGCGGATCTTGTCACACTCTCGCAATCGTTCTGCTTCCAAGCATGGCCAAGGCTCTGCCAGTGCTTGAAAGGGATCCCCAAGGAGTCGTGATATTCCTTGACTTTGGGAAGGACCTCTTCGTAGGTCTCATTGCCACCAGTTGCATAGTGGTAGTACCCTCAGTCACTCAGTCTGCTCCATCGTTCTCGGCTCACACCGGGCACGAGGTTTGTCGGATTCTCCTCTCGACACGCCTTGGACTCCGGCCACCATTATCAGTCCAAAATCCGATGCTCCCGACCACGTCGTCCCCTCAAGTCTTCGCAGTGCTTCGTTTGCCGGCAGCTGCCGGCAAGTGTAAGAAGTGTGCGTCGAGCCAAGGCGAGAAGCTACAGCTCTACGTGTGCAGAAGGTCCAAGACTTAGGTCTGCTTGCGCCAGGTCGCTGTACATGTCCGCTCTCTGCTTCCCGGTGAACTTCAGCATACGATCGCCCCATGCCATCATGCCTGCACTCAAGTGAGTCGACACCCATCAGTTTGAAAAGGGTATTTTTGCCAATGCACCATCAAGGACACCGAAGCCGGCGGAGAGGATGAACATTTGCTTCCATCCAGACGGGATGAAAGGAACCGTGCCCTTCCTTCGTGCCACGAGATTGGCATGCAGAAATCTAGTCGGTGACTGCAGATGCAAAGAGCTCTGATTACAATCCATGTCTCACACCGGCTCCAACCAACTTGTCACCGGCCTCATTCTCAGGAACACGACTTCTCTTAAAGAGCTCACATTGCTACGTCTCGTGGCCTTCTATCGCCTCGAGGTCGTTTACTCAGAATGCTGTCGCACAATTCAACTGCCAGACTAATGTCCAAAGGTCGTTGCGGGCAAGGCTCGAACATGTGCTGCGCCTCTGGGACATCTTCAAATCAAAGCACCTTTCTCTTTGAATTCGGCCTGCCTTGGGCGTTGTTAGTGGGGCGAAGACGGTCATGGGTCGAGCGCTGGCTGTGGCATTGTAGAGGACCAAGGGTGCTCCTCCCTGATGGGTCGGCGTGAAGTTGGCCAAGTTGCCTTGCAAGCACTTGCAGGCACGTTCGTCCATGCATCAAAGAGCTCGTTCTTCATGGCCTTTTGTGCCGCCCAGCTTCACTTCTTCATTTGGGGAAAGACTCCGTGGTAGGCAAAGCAATCAAGATCGCCAGCATGGCCCTGGCTCTTGAAGCTCGGGAAAAGGGTCACTGGCGCCTGAGAGCTTGCAGTCTTCGTTTCAAAGGCTCTTGGGAAGGGCTCCAGATCACCACAATCCAGTTCAGCTCATGGCTTCACGATGCTGCTTAGCTCGACCAGAAGCGGGATTCCGACTGGTGCACCGAGTGATAGTGTATGTGATAGGTCTAAGGAGGGCACCGCCAGTTTTGTTCCCCACGCCGCAGCATCCACGTGCACATCCTCGGGGAAAAGCTGCCTCGGTTGGAAATCCGAGTGCGAGCTTGCACTGGATCTCAGCCGGACTGCGGCAAGGATGCTCGAAAACGAGAAAGCTGGGGTCGTCATCATAAGCTCGAATTGATGCATGCCTCAGCGGCCAGAGCACTGTTAAGCCAAATCTATTGCTGAGCTGATCTGATCTGAGCTGCATGATCGGGCGCTTCGTGTCAGAGCGGCCCCAGATCATCTGCTCGGATGTGTAGCCTCCAAAATGGCCGAGGCGAATCTAGCACAGGGCACCACAGCTCCCAGGCCCCAGGTTACATGACCCTTGTGGAAGCTGGCAAAGTCGAAAGCAGCTGCCTCCCAAGGCATCCCTGCCGGGTGTTCGGGTTCGCGAAAGAAGCTCGAGGCCAGAGCGGCTGGACCACCGGCCGACGTGCACCTGCAAAGCGAAACGCAGGCGTAGGATCTTTTTGGCCGAAAGAGGTAGGCCCCCCTCATCGCTCTCCTACAGCACACGTGGTTGTGGCCTCGCCGCCCTCCAACCAAGGCAGGCCGTCGAACGTCACTGCAAAGCCTTCATGGGCATCAGTCAGCCCGAAACACTTCTACTTTTTTGGCACTCGCTCTCGACGTCAGGCGAGGTTTGGGTATAAGTCAAACCCACCCAAATGCCAAATGAACCGGGTTCCATTCAAGGGAGCCTGCTACGCACGGAACTTACTACTGAAGTCGACTGTTCCTGAGTTCTTCAATCTGGAATGTGGCGCCGGGTTCAGAAGCCCTGGTTTCCGTCGACGAGCATCTATACATGACAAGGCTCCACCAGCTGAATCCAGCGTCGCTTGCAGGTGTGGGGCGCCGGCAGCGAGCCGCATACCCCAGACACTCCATATTAGAAGACCCATGGGGTGGGTCATTTCGCGTGTCCTGCCTTGTCCTATTCCTTTCTTTGAGCCATGTCTGCACTTTGGTAGAAGACGTTGTCAAGCAAAGAAAGAACTGCCGCATCCATCCAGGTGCACTGGAAACGGAGATCCTGACCGTTCCGGTAGCCATGCCCATGTTTCTCAACAACTGCTTTTTGAATCGATCTTGACAATGCCACTCATGGAGCCCTCTGGTCCTGAATCTCTGAACCTTATGGCCCTAAACCGTCTGATCTTCAAGTCGCAGCAGCGTCGAGCCCAGAGCAAACCCGAGGTCGCTTTGTCAAAAGCATGTCTGCATGTCCACATAACTCAGGCTCTAGCAAACTAGGCAAAGGGGCTTGTGCCTTCGCCAGCATCTACGCTGCTGTCCTTAACTACTGTACTAGTACACGCAGATGGGGCTTCATCGAGGTTGCATGCGAAACATAGCATGTCCTACAGGAGGTAACAGCCGCCATTGCTGCTGCCCTCTTCCTGCGGGTTTCCGCACACTACCGGTCCTTTCACAGCCTCCGGAACAAACGCCACTTATCAGCCAACGGGGGACTTTTGCCGGAAGCACAGATCTCCCAGCCTCGAGGAGGATTCCTCGCTGCTCTTCGCTTCCTCCGAGACAGCCCCAGTGAGGCTTCAGCTCCAGGATGCAGTTGCGCGCCTGCCAGGAAAGGTGGCAGCACGACCACTCAAGTCTCAGCTCAGTCGAACCTTCGATCGCTTCTCTGCCGTCTCCGCAGAGGCCAGGTCGGAGCCTCGCCCGGTCTACAACCGCCCCAAGCCCCTCTGCCGCTCCACCAAGGCACCCACGGAAAAGATCTGCTACGGACTGCGCAATGTCCCTGTATGCTTCTGCACGCCCACCAGCACCACCGGGCCCTGCCGCCATCTCCTGACGCAACTGCCTTTCGACCTTTTTTCTTAACAGCCTGGGGGGGGCGCTGGCCATGACCTCGCACCAGGCACCAGTCCTCGGAGTGCTTGTTGACGGCCGTGAGAAGCTCATCCAGGGGCTTGGCGTCCTGGAGGCTCTGTGCGTGTGCGTGAGCTGCTGCACCCTAGCATGAATCGATCTGACTTGGTTAACCGCAAACGTCCGACTAAAATTTGCCTGCAAGATGTGACGAGTTCACCTCTGAACAGCGTCCTCCATGGCACCGACACAGAGCCCACGGATCAAAAGAATGTCCAACAACAGGTCGCAATGCTGCAGAGTACCTTGTCGTGTCGGAGGGGTGTGGACCGACAGTCTGCTCAAGGCGAAAACCGACCGGGCCAATGCGAGCCCCTCCTGTTATCGCCAGCCGCGGCAATGGGTCTCACGGCACGGGCACAATCACCAGCCGTCTGCACTCATAGAACGACTTTGCATAAAGCAGTTCCTCACCAATAGATTGTCCGACAGTCAGGCACCGTCGGAAGACCCAAGGATCCACATATAATATCGCGTATCCAAAAAGCGTATCCTGTGCAGCAGAGGAGCCCTTGGACCCGTCCTTCGGCAACGAGAGGCCCTTGCAGCCCTGCAGTACGCGCCGCCAACGTGGCTCAGCTGCCTCGGCCTGGCAGCGAGGGTTTTGATGCTGGCTGAACGAGCCAGGAAAACAGTGCCGGAAGCTTAGAGGCTTAGCAATTTCATTTGCATTCCGGCCTAGGGGATGTCCGTGGCGGGAAATAGACTCCCCAACGAGTGATGCCCAGTCATCAGCTCAGTAGATCGAAGCTGGCGTGCTCGAACACAGAGGCTCCAGGATGTATGCTTTTTCACTGCGGTGGTTACTCTCCACACAGGGGTGTAGCTTGCACACGTCAAGGATCCCAAATAACTATAGTACAGTAACTATATTTTCAAGTTTCAAGGCCCGGCATGGTGGCCCTTGACCGAATGATTGCCTGAAGCTATCTCCTGCTGAAGCATACTCGCCTCGACGCCCTTGTCCATGAACACTCGCCCGCACCGCGAATGGTGAAGCTAAGTGGGTGATCCGGGCCAGCGGACTAGCAACCAAAGCAAATGCCTGCTGCCGTGTTTCCAGCCGCCAGAGCCTGAGATCGCGTGCTGCAGCCACGGGCACCCAACACTTCCATTAGATGGAGGCTTTGCGCAAAGCGGCAAATTCAGAGCGTTCAGCTGCACCTTCGGAGCTGCGGTGCTACTTTTTTCGACTCCAAGAGTTTGGAAGCGCGTGCCTGAGGATCGCCGCCTTGGGCCACACCTTCTGGGCCTTCCGGCCAGAGTCGCTCCTAGGAGCTTCCGGCGCACATCAGCTCTGACTCTTCCTCTGACTGACGAGCTGCGTCAAAGATGGCAAGCGCAGGCTCGAAGTTGCGACTTTCTGTGTACCTCGGAATGGGCATGTGGTAGGTGCCGGTAGTGAACTGATGGACTCGAATCTACAAAGCAAGGCGCAAGAGAGCCAGGTGCCACCAACAATGAGTGTACAGAAACGGGTGCAGGTCCTGACGGATTCGGCGCGTGAAACTTGCAGTTGGCCGTTCTCAGCACTGCCCGGCCTCCTTGGGCCAGGTTTCGCTGCGCTTCTTCATGAAAGACATGGCATCGTCCAAGCGGCCCATCCCTGCAACAACTGCTGAGGGGCACAAGTCGCACATGCAGCTCCCTCAATACAGACCTACATACCTAGACACCTACACACCTACATACCTACATGACACACCTACCTACCTAGATACCTACCTGCCTCCCTAGCTACCTTCCTACCTAACGACCGACCAACAGACAAGCAGACAGACAGACAAACAGACGGACAGACGAACATGACATAACATATCATTACATATTTGAGGATTTCCGTGCTTTCAACGGCGTTCGCAGCTTAATTTGACATGCAGGGGACCGCAAGCGCGCAGCGAGCGTGTGCTTCCAAAATCCTTGGGGGCCTGGAGCTGTGCCGTTGAACCCTCCAAACAGGCATCCCAGGTCCGACGAAGGACGCATATATACATATACATTTACATTTACATTTACATATACATATACATATACACGTACATATATGTATACATATACATATACATACATACATACATACATACATACATACATACATACATACACACATACATACATACATACATACATACATACGCACGTACATACATACATACATACATACATACATACATCGCAGAAGCAGTAATTCTCCACATAGCACACGTGTGTATGCTCATCACGCTGATCCCTGCACAAATCTGTAGATGTGTCTCCA